CCGGGTGAAGACGGCAGGCGGGTGGGCGGGTGGGCGGGCATGCGCGCACGCACGCTCCCCCTCCGCTTCCTCCTCACAGCTCCGAGCAGCGGTCCTGCTTGCTGTAGTGGTCGAACTGGTGCTTCCAGTGCATCATGTAGGAGCTCCAGCGGTGGAACTCCACCTTCCACTGCCGCTCGGCCTCCTCGATGTTGTCTGGGCGGGCAGAGACGCGGCGCAGAGACGCAGGCACAGGCGCAGAGCAGAGCAGAGCAGGTGGCAACGCGGCGGCCAGGGCAGGAAAGAGAAGGAGAGAAGAAGCCAGTTAGAGAGCCGAGGAGGGGGCTGAAGCGGGGCCGAGGAGGGGTGGGGGGGCTCCTGAGTGGGACTCCCCCCCCCCGAGGACCAAGGGAGGCAGTCCTGGCGCCTGGGGGGCTGCGCTGCGCTGGCAAGAGACTCCCAGGGGTGGCACCAGTCCAGGAGGCTGCCAGGTTGGGCTGCAGCGACAGACCTGGGAGGCCCTGGGGGGTGGGGGGTGTTAGTAAGCAGCAGAGGAGAAGGGACCAAGCGCTGGGCTGGCAGAGGGTGGCGGAGAGGCTTGTGCGGTGTTCCCTCTAAGCTGAGTCAGTGTGAGCTAGCTCACCGTGTTTTAGCCGCTGGCTCACAGATTTTTGTCTTGGCTCAGGAAGGAGGGCTCCAAATCAAGCTAATTTATGCAGGAGCCGAATGGCTCGCTCGCTCACAACTTGTATTAATGCCAGGAGCTCACAAAGTGGAATTTTTGCTCACAAGACTCTGCAGCTTAGAGGGCGCCTTGGTCTTGTGCTATTTGGGGGAGGGGGCAGGGCCAAGCCTTGGCTCCCTGGAAGGGGCTCTTGGGCCAGCCCCTCCCCTTCCGAGGACCCTCCTCCTGGCCCACCGGCTGTCTGGTCAGGCGCCTCTTCTGCCAATGGGGACTCCTTGGAAGCGCAGCCCTGCCGCAGGGGGGCGGAGAGCATCCGCTTTGCGTGCCGGAGGTCCCCGGCTGGGTGCCTGGCGCCTCTGCCTGAATGGGACCCGTGGTGCCGCACGGGGCTGCTGCCAGCTGGAGGAGGGGGACCAGTGGCTGAACTCCACGCAGGGCACCTCCCCCCACGTGCTGCCACGGCAGAAGACACACGCTATGCCCTGCCTGTCCTTGGTGAGCATCACATTGGCACAGCACGCGGGCCAGCAGCCCTCCTAGCCCTGAGCCCCCTGGCCTACCTGACCCGTGGGGCCTGAGGCTCCCCCCGCCTCTACCTCTGGCCGTGCTCAAAGGAAAGGAAGACACACGCGCAGTGACACACATCTCCCTCCCCCAACAAAACACACCAAAGGAAGAACACCAGGAGAGCCCCGCTGGAGCCGACCAGGGAGGGTCCACCTAGTCCAGCCTCCCGTCTCACCCGGTGGCCAGCCAGTGCCTCTGGAGGGCCAGCAACAGGGCAGAGAGGCCGAGGCCTTCCCCTGATGCTGCCTCCCAGCTCTGGGATTCAGAGGTTTGCGGCCTCTGAAGGTGGAGGCTGCCTTTTGTCCCCGTGGCCAGGAGCCACTGATGGACCTCGCTGTCCTCCGTGAACCTGTCTCATCCCCTTTTAAAACCATCTTTTCCCGTGGTCAAGGCTCAAGGCCACGTCCTCTGGCAGCAAATGCCATGTTTTAACCACTCTCTGTGTAAAGCCGTATTTCCCTTTGTCTGTCCTGAATCTACTGCTCATCAACTTCATTGGATGCCCCCGGGTTCTTCTAGTGCTTAACTTCATAAAATATCCTGTCCCCCCCCCCCCCGTCATCTTTTCTCTAAAGGGAAAACTCCCGGACTCTCCAGCCAGCCTTTCCTGGTGGGGGAAGGGTGCTCCCATCATCCCCTCCGGCCTCCCGGCCGCCCTCCCCTGCCCTTCCCCCAGCTCTGCAGTGTCCTCTTTGGAGACCAGAACGGCACACAGCATCGAGAATCAGGCCCAGCGGCCATAGACCTATGCAGGAGGGCTGTAATAGTGGCCATTTTATTTCCAGTCCCTTTCCTGGTCATCCCCAGCAGAGTTTGCCCTTTTCACTGTGCAGCACCCTGGGTGGACCCTTTCATTGGACTGTCCTCTGCGGCCCCCAAGGTCTCTTCCCCTCTCGGTCGGTCACAGCCCGTCCAGACCTCCTCAGCGCACACTCGGCGTTGGCGTTTTTTGTTCCGGTGTGGGTCCCCTGACACTGACCAACACTGGACTCTGTCTGGCTGTGGGTGAGGCGTTTGGTGTCTGTACGGTCAACATCGATCACTTTGCTCCTTAAACGTGACCCCCACCCCCAACCCCGCTCGCTGTGCAAAGGAAGCAGACCTGATTTTGGATGGGCAGATCTGCCCTCCCTTCTAGCTTGTGCCAAAGTTACAACTGAAACCACTCTGGGAAGACAAAGTCCCGGCTTGCGTCTTCTCCTCCTCGATGATTTGCAAACATAGCGTCACTCGATTCAGAGTGTTTACCGAGTCCCCAAAGGTGGATGGATGCAGGTGGCCTGGAGGCCCTTGGAGGAATGACTCACTTGCCTCCTCGTGACTCAGAGAGTTCTCCTTGGAATTTGAAAAGAGCTTCCAGCTTCCTGCTGTGTCCTGCACAGACCGGAGGGAGGGCCCGGCCCCTGTGCCTCTCTGCCTCCTGCCCATCCCTCTGCTCTACCCCCCCCACGCCCCTCCAGGCTCCTCCCTGGCTTCCTGGGGCAGGAGCACCCCCCACCGCCCTGATCTGTGCTGGGGCAGGAGCATCCCCCCCCCACACACACACGCACAGACCGCCGGCCGGCCAGTGCAGTTGCTTCTTCCTCCTGGCTTCAAGCCCCAAGGAGCTCAAGACAGAGGAGGAGGGGGAGGAGGGAGAGAAGTGGGGTGGGAGGCAGGCTGGAGCCCCCGCCAGAGTGGGCCTCACAAGGCCCAGCAGGCCCTACAAGGGAGAAGAAAATGAGGAGGTAAATCCTGGGCAAGGCGAAAGGTGTGTGTGGGGGGGGGGGGTTGAGAGGCTCGAAGGGCTCCTCTAACCCTATTGGCTGGATTGCTGTGGTGTCATGGAATGGTCAGCCATATTTCTGTGGAGGGGGAAGGGCGCAACAGCGCCTCCTGTAGGGGAAATGGAAAGTTGGTCTGGACAGAAGCCTCCTCAGAAGCCAGGAGAGGTGGCTCCCTATGGGCAGGTGAGGAGTGGGACAATGGGGTGGTGATGGCAGGGGTAGGGTGGTGGTGGCAGGGGCCCATGGGGCAAGGTGAAGTTTGCATTTGGCTGGAGCCAGCAAGCCACAGCTGGGCAGGGGCAGGGTTTGCCTTTGCCCACCCTGCCCCCTTGGAAGGTTCTGACCCACCTGTCACGTTGAGCAATTTGGGGAGGAATCGGTTCCAGAAGGCACAGATCTGGGCACGGAGGCTACGGTCCACCTCCAGAGGCTGCGTGTTCAGCTTGACATACTTCTGCTCCGACATGCTGTAGGGGGGCCACACCTGCCCCTTCTCTGAGGGCTCCGTGGGGTCCCTGTGTGGAGGGGAAGAGGGTGAGGTGTGGGAAGGAGGTCAGCACGCATGGGAGTCCCTGACCGAGCCGTCTCAGACTCTGGGCTCTTCAGCTGGCCTGGCTTCTAGGTGATAGACACCCCCCCCCCCCATAGCTGCTGTGTTTCTGGGGCTGGCCAGCAAGCACGGCTGAAAGAGTGCCACACCAAGATGAACTAGGGCTGCCAATCCCCGGGTGGGAGCCAAAAATGAGAGATCACGGGAGGAAGTGGAATTCTAAAAACAACATCCGTGACAAAAATAACAAAGAGTCAATAAAGATAAGTTTACCGTAGAAAATTTTCTTCTATACTTGCTCACACGCTAACGAATGCTGCGCAATGAAAACAATTTGTTTCACAATATATGCTTTACCTGAGCATGTAGCAATCCCAATTCTTATCAATTACTACTTATCAACTCTTGAAGGAAACATTCTATGTTGACTCTCTAATAACAGAACCCAAGGGATTGCTACATGCTCAGGTAAAGCATATATTGTGAAACAAATTGTTTTCATTGCGCAGCATTCGTTAGCGTGTGAGCAAGTATAGAAGAAAATTTTCTACGGTAAACTTATCTTTATTGACTCTTTGTTATTTTTGTCACGGATGTTGTTTTTGGAATTCCAGTCCCCAGGTGGGGCCTGGAGATCTCCCAGAGTTTCAATTAATCTCCAGGGGAAAATTAGTGGTGTGAAGGGTGGAGTCTATGCCGTTATACCCTGGAGAGGTCACTCCTCTCCCCCAAACCCTGCCCTCCGTAGGCGCCAAACCCATCATCCGCCCGGAGCCCGTTTGGGGAGGGCAGGATATAAATCAAATTATAAATTAAAAAATGAAATAAATAAATGAATATAAATCCCCCCAGGAATTTCCCAGCGCAGAGCTGGCACCCCTACAGGTCCAAGCAAGGGGGGGGGGGAGCCGACTGGTGTTCTCCTCCCTTCTGGGCCCCACAGCACGTCCCTTCGGCTTGCATCAGCACACCCCCCCCCCAGTGACCACCGACTCCTGCCTGCAGGGGTCCTGAAGGCAAGGCAGCGTTTTGCCCATTGGCTGCCCCTCCAAGGAAACCCTCTCTGAGTTGGCTGCCACCTGCCTCTCTGGTCTGGCTTTAGGGCCCCTGTTTCCCTGCCCTCAGGGCTCCATACAAGCACGCACGCGCACACACGCACACACGCACAGGAGATGACAGGAAGAGAGAGTCAGATTCAGAATGTTAACCTTTTGCTTTGTAGTCCGACTACAATCTGTCTCTCCCTACTTCTACCATCCTACCAGGATTCTCAATCCGTTTTTCATTTTTTAAAAAATTATTTCTGAGGGGCACTTAAGAAAAGTCTGTTTGCTAAACGTGTGAAAGCTGTGTAGTGAGGAATCCACTCGCTTCCGAGGGCTGCCCTGTCGGTCTACAGTAGAACAGCTGGATTGGAATCCGTGGCACCGTAGAGTCTCGGGGGGATGATGCGCTTTCAAGAGCCAAAGCTCCCTTCGTCCGGCATCGGTAGCTCTGGTGCCTGGCCAAGGGTGCTTTGACTCCCAAAAGCTCCTACCGTGAAAACCTCTGGCTGGTCTCTGAGGTGCTCCTGGGATCTTATCCAAATGTGTGAGACCCATGGAAAAGAACATCCCATTTCCTCTAACAGCACCGGTCACTGGGAAGACCGTCAACTGGGAGAATGAATAAATGCACGGCAGCACGGGCGGACACACACACACACACACACACACACACACACACACATTCTGTGCCTCTTCCTCTCTTTCCACCCAGGCCTCCAGACGCAGCACCCTCCTCTCCGACCCCCACGCCCCATACCCCGTGTGGGCAAAGTTGGCCCAGTAGCGCATTATGCGCCGGCTCAAGGCTTTCTCCTCTTCCGTGTAGTTGAGGCTGTTGTTCAGCGGCAGCCCAAAGACAAATTCGATCTCGTAGCCATGCGGGACACCCATCCACAGCGGCCAGATGAGGTTGGAGGCTCGGTGGTCGAAGAGGTAGGCGTAGACCTTGTTCCCGTGCTCGGCGTAGCGGGTGGCAAAGTGCATGACGGGGCAGATGACATTGTGGTCTCCTACAATGTCATCCATGGCCTCCCGGTTCTTCTCACGGTTGTGCTCGTCCTTCCAGTCGGTGTACTGCAGCACGACGGCCTCGGCCGCGATCTCGTTGGCGTGGGGCACCCCGATCCGCACCCCGCTCAGGAAGTCCTCCCGGCTGATGAGGCTGTCGTTGTCCTTGCTGAAGCCGGGCGCCCCGTAGAGGAGGAAGTAGGAGCCCTCGTCTTTCACCACCCCGAGCAGGACCTGGGTCTCCTTGAAGTCCTTGGTGCTGAGCATGGCTTCGGGCGTGTCAGGGAGGAAGTCGCCATCGATGACCGGCACGAAGGAGAAGCGGAAGACGCTGTCGTAGGGCAGGACCAGCCATTCCTTGTCGATCAGCTCTTGGGGCTCTTTGGCCCGCAGGCAGCTCACCATCTCGGAATCGTTGGTGGACTGGCAGCCCACCAGCTTGGCCAGGTGGGTGGCGCGGCGTCGGCTCTCTGCCGGACCAATGGTGGCCCAGGGCCCGTTGGGTGCCCCGCTTTGCATAATCGCCCGCTTGAAGAGGGGCCGGCTCTGGGCGGAAAGGAGATGCATCCCGACGGAAGCCGCCCCGGCACTCTCTCCAAAGATGGTGACCATTTTGGGGTTGCCCCCAAAGTGGTGGATGTTGTTCTGGACCCACTGCAGGGCCAGGCGCTGGTCCAGGAGCCCCACATTGCCCGGAGCCTCTGTGCTACCCAGCAGGGCCAGGAAGCCGAAGGCCCCGACTCGGTAGCTGATGGAGACCAAGAGGACCTTCTCTGTGTGGGCCAGGAAGCGGCCGTCGTAGACGTCCAGCGAGGAGGAGCCGCTGTAGAAGCCGCCCCCGTAGATCCAGACCAGGACGGTGGCATTCTTGGGGCGTGGCGAGGGCACCCAGATGTTGAGGTAGAGGCAGTCCTCGCTCATCTCCTGGTTGGGGTTCCACATCTCGATGCCGTGGAACCCCGGGTACGTCCTGTCCACAAACTGGTAGCAGGCGTGTTGATAGGAGGATGTGTCGCGGGTGCCGCTCCACGGCTTCTTGGGCTCCGGGGGCAGGAAGCGCAGCCGGCCCACGGGGGGCTCGGCAAAGGGGATGCCCAGGAATGCGTCGACGCTGCCGTCGAGGACGGACAGCCGGGTTCCACGGACCCGCCCCGTCTGCGTGTCCACCATCAGCTCCTCACTCTGGGCGGCCGCAGCCGCGAGGAAGGGGAGCAGGAGGAGGAGGGGGGCGCGACTCTGGACCCAGAACCGGCCCACGGGCCTCGTGCTGCCTGGATGACGGGCCATCTGCAGGGGAAAGGGGGGAAGAACAGTCACTGGAGGCCTCTGGGGGCAAAGCCCCGGCCCCTTCCGTGCCCCGGTGGCGGCGGCCGCAACATCCTGGCTGCCGTCTCTGCCAGGAACAGCCTCTCCCCTCCCCTGCCTGATAAGGGACCTCTGACCCCGGGTAGGCTCGGCCCCGCCCAGCCCTTATCACTCTGATGCAGGCAGGGGAAGCCTCACAGCTCTGCCTTCCCAGGAGGCGGGCTGGGGGGAGTCTGAGGGGAGGTGGGCCTTTTTAACAGGGCTCCACTCCAGCCCCGGGAGGGAAGGCGGGGGGGGGGCAATTAGGGCCGGTCCCTGAGCAGGGGCCATAACAGAGAAGCCAAAGAGCGAAGCCATTCGGAAGAAGGAGGTGGGGGAGGAGGAGGTGGAGGAGATTGGATTTATACCCCCCCCCGCCCTTCACTCAGAGTGGCTTACAGACTCCTTTTCCCTCCCCCTCCCCACAACAGACAGACGCCCTTTGAGGCAGGCGGGGCTGAGAGAGCTCTTGACAGAAACTGCTCTTTTTTCAAGAACAGCTCTTATCAGAACTAGGGCTTGCCCAAGGTCACCCAGCCAGGTGCAAGTGGAGGAGGCGTGGGGAATCAAGCCCGGTCCTCCCAGGTTAGAGTCCACCGCTGTCCTGCCGTAGAAGAGCCGGATTCGAGTCCAGCAGCACCTTAGAGACAGGCCAGATTTTCAGGGTATGAACTCTCGAGAGTTGCAAGCGCTCCCGTTGTCAGGAAACCTCCAGGCACCTTCAGGCTGTGTGGCGGGTCAGAGTGGTGGCCTTGCCTCAGTTTCCCCTGCGGCGTGTGCCTCCCTCAAGAGAGCCCCTCCCCTTCCCGCTGTCCTCTGACATCCCCCCCCCCACAGGCCTCTTGGGCTTTGGATGGCTGGGCTTGGTGTCCAAGAGGGGCACGTGGGGTCGATGGTGGGGGTGGGTGGAAGTTGAACCCAGCCCTTTCAGGAGGGGTGGGCCGCCCGGGAGCTGAGCCTCCAGATGCCAGTAAGCGCCACCGTGGGGGAGAGCAGCCAGCAGCCAGCCCGGGCCCAGGTATCCGGGCAGTACCCCTCTGAGCAGCAGTGCTCCCTCCGAGTCTTTTGGCCCTGCTGAGAGAGGAAGAGTGCCTCTGAGCATGTACAGGATGCACGGCACCTGGCTCCTTCCCCTGGCAGAGGAGGGGGGGCATTCTGGGCAGGCTTGAATCCTGGCCCCTCTGAGCACTGCCTGGGGGAGGGGCCCCCCCCCCGCATCCGGATCTGAGAGGGGGGTGGGACGCTTTGCTAGCACAGTCTTTCTCTGCCCCGCCCCCACCCTGTTCTCCTCCTTTGCCCCCCTCCTGGTGTGGGGGAAACACTGGGCTCCCCCCCCCGCTGCGCAGTCTCACCCCCCCAGGGCATGCCCCAGGGATCCCCCCCCTCCACCACCACCAAAGAGTTACACGTGGGCTGCTTCCCCTGGGAGGGGGCGCCTGCTCTTCCCCGGGGAGCTCTGCGTGGCCCAGCCTTCCAGAGTGGCTCAGGCAGAAGAGCCCAGGCAAGAGTGTGTGTGTGTGGGGGGGGGGCAGGAATGGCTTCCCCTCCCCGGGCTCTGGGCACCCCTGCAAAACCCCTCCCTCAGCCAGCCAGCCAGGCTGATGCCGTGGGTCCGGGGTGCGGCAGGGGCATCTGGGGAGGGGAGGGGGAGCCCCCTCCCCCCCAGCCCAGCTGGCTCATGGTGTATCTTCCCCCCCCCCATCGCCTCTCTGGCTGGTGGAGTGAGAGAGAGGGAGAGAGAGGGGGAGGGAGAGGGAGAGAGAGCCTGCCTCTGCTCCCCCATCCTCAGATGTTTGCCCTCCGGCAGCTGTCCCCTGATTAAAATAACCTGGGTCAAAAATAAACCAGCAGGCAGAGGCTCTCTGCGGCTGAACAGGCCCCCTTCTGGCATTTGGGGGGGGGGGGGGGGGGGGTGGGGCTCCTGTGCTGCTGCTGCTGCCGCACCGGCTTAACTACTGTCCATGTGGCCTTTTGACCGGGCTTCCGCCCCCTGCTGCCTGCTCCGCACCATGCAAAGAGTGGGGTGGGGGTAGGGGTGGACTAGGATCCGGGAGACCCGGGTTCGAATCCCGGCTCTGCCATGGAGGCTTGTGGGGGGACCTTGGGCCAGCCACACGCACTCTCGGCTTAACCTACCTCGCAGGGTTGTTGGGAGGGCAAAACGGAGAAAGATGTCAGCTGCTTTGGGTTTCTGCTGGGAAGAAAGTCAGGGTGTCAATAAAGTCAATGAAGAAACAAATCCGAAGAAGTGAAATCTCTCCAAGGAAGGCACGTGGGGGGTGGGTGGGGGGGGAGTCTGTGAGGCAGGTGCTCAGGGGGGCTGGACTGGGGGGAGAGGCCCTGGGGAAAGCTGCACAAGGGCGGCTAAGAGGGGGGGGGATCCATATTTCCCCCCCATAACGGGAGAGAGAGAAGAGCAAAGATCACGGTCACTACTGCGCATCACGCGCCTGTTAGGGGGGAAAGAAAAACCCCGGGCGGAACCAAGCGGTGCCAGCAGAAACCCGACCCCTGGCAGCCTCTGACATCCGAGTGCCACAGCCCCCGCTGGCAGCCAGCCCCTCTTGCGCGGGGGGTGGGGGCCCCGGATGGACGTGGAAGCAAACAGCCCTCCTGCCTCAAGAGGACTTGGAGGCCACCCCGGGGCTGCCTGCCCTGGAGACTGGGCCGGCCCTCCTCCAAAGCAAGCCCCGGGGCTTGGGCCTGTGCGCCTCCTGTGGGCCCCAGAGGACAGCTGGGGTCTGATCTCCCCCCCTCCCGCCTTGCCCGTGGTTCTGGGGCCTGGAGAGAGACTCCCTTGGGCAAGGGAGTACGGGGCTGTCACCGGGCCGAGTCAAGCGTGGCCACCAGCTGGGGCCACGAGACCCCCCCTCTGGCCCCCGAGAGCCTCTCTGCCCACAGCGCTGGCGGCAGGGGGGTGTGGGTGTCTCCGGAGGGCGGCTCCCCGGCTCGTGCCACGCCTGCCTCCCTCGAGTCTCGCGTCCTCCTGCCCCGAATCTCAGCCCAGTTATTATTTTCCACTCCGTTGTCATTCCTGTCACATTGCGTGCTAATCCAGCAGTATTTGCCGTCCCTCCCAGGTCTGTGTCACTGCGGGCTAGATAAATAACTTGCGGGGAGATGACTTTCTTGGTCAAAGCGGGGGGGGGGGGCCTTGCCAAGAGGGCCCGTCAAGCCGTGGCCGAGCTCCTCCTCCCTCCGCCCCCCTCCCGGGAAGGCGTTCCTGCATTTCCAGGGAAAGGGTCTCCTCCTCAGGGCCTGGCTGAGATGGAGGAGGGCCTGGAGGGCCACAGCGGCTCAGCGGAAACCAGGCGGAGCGAGAGAGGCCAGGGCCCGACTCAGCAGGATCATCACCTGGGGAGGGGGGTGCCTGCTCAGCAAGGAGCCAGCCCGGTGCATTGGCTCAGGTGTCGGCCTGGGATCTGGGGGACTGCCGCCATGGAGGCCTGCTGGATCACCTCGGGCCAGGCACAGACTCTCAGCCTCACACGGTGGTGGTGGTGGTGGTGATTAATTAAATGTATTAGATTTATAAACTGCCCTTCCCCAAAGGGCTCAGGGCGGTGTACACAGCAGGTCAACATACACCACACCGCAGGAAGGATATTATAGCACTGGGAAAAGTGCAGAAAAGGGCAACTAGAATGATCAAAGGGTTGGAACACTTTCCCTGTGAAGAAAGGTTAAAGCGCTTAGGGCTCTTTAGCTTGGAGAAACGATGGCTGAGGGGTGACATGATCGAGGTTTACAAGGTTATGCAGGTTGAGAAAGAGGTACTTTCCCCCCTTTCTCACAATACAAGAACTTGTGGGCACTCCATGAAATTGCTGAGCGATCGGGTTAGAACAGATAAAAGGAAGTCCTTCGTCACCCAAAGAGTGATTAACACGTGGAATTCACTGCCACAGGAGGTGGCGGCGGCTACAAGTATGGAGGAAATGGGATAAACATATGGAGCAGAGGTCCATCGGTGGCTGTTAGCCACAAGGTATAGATAGGAAAGGGGTTGCGGTGGCTCAAGTGGTCAACACGCTGAACTGCAGACTGGAAATTCGGTAGCTCAGCAGTTCGAGACCCGGGTGTGCCGCATGACGGAGTAAGCTCCCGTCTCTAGTTCCAGCTCCTGCCAACCTAGCAGTTAGAGAGCAAGAAATTGCAAGTAGATAAATAGGTACCACTTTGGTGGGAAGGTAACAGCATTCCTTGCGCTCTGGCGTCTAGTCATGCCAGCCACATGACCACGGAAATGCCTTTGGACAGCGCTGGCTCTTCCACTTGGAAACAGAGATGAGCACCGCAACCCTAGAGTCGGATTAGGGGGGGGGGGCAACAGTGGGAGAGCTTCTATGTGAAAGGGATCTGGGTATTCTGGTTGATCACAAGCTAAACATGAGCCTGCAGTGCGATGTGGCTGTGAAGAAAGCGAATGCAATCTTAGGATGCATTAACAGAAGCCTTGTGTCCAGATCACAGGAGGTGGTCGTTCCGCTCTATTCTGCTATGGTCAGACCTCACCTGGAGTCCTGCATCCACTTTTGGGCACCACATTTTAGGAAGAATGTTGACAAGCTCGAGCGTGTCCAGAAGAGGGCAACTAGGATGGTGAGAGGGCTGGAATCCAAGTCTTACAAGGATAGGCTGAAGGAGTTGGGTATGTTCAGCCTGGGAAAGAGAAGGCTAAGAGGGGACATGACTGCAGTCTTCAAGTATCTGAAGGACTGTCATGTAGAAGATGGAGCAGATCTATTCTCTCTTGCTCTGGATTGCAAGACTAGATCTAATGGGTGGAAATGACAAGGGAGTCGATACCGGCTAAATATCAGGAGAAACTCCCTAACTGGAAGAGTGGTTGAGCAGTGGAACAGACTGCCTCGGGAGGTGGTGGAGGCTCCTTTGCTGGACGTTTCCAAGCGGAGGCTGGACGACCATCTTTCGGGTATGTTGTAGGGCTGTCTTTTGGCTGTGCTCCTGCAGAGTGCAGGGGGTTGGACTAGATGACCCGCAAGGTCCCAGTTCCAACTCCAACGTTCTGTGATTCTAGTGTCCTGGCCCCACTGCTGGATCTCCTGATGGCGCCTGGTATTGGACTGGATGGGCCCTTGGCCTGACCCAACATTGGCTTCTCTTATGTTCGTATGTACCGTAAATTATAGATAATTAATCACAAATGAACTCAGTAGACGTCCTCCAGGTCGTCAGTGGCATACGTGAGATGCCCTTCCCTCCACAGGGCAGATCGTAGGCCGGGCTCGGGGAAGGTCGGTGGCCAGAGCCCGTTGCTGTCCTCAGCCGTGGTGGGCCTGGCAGAACAGCTCCGCTTCACACCCCCTGCGGAACTGAAGGGGGTCCCGCAGGGTGCAGGAGTCACCAGGCAGAGAGCTCCCCCAGGCCGGGGCCGGGGCTGAAAAGGCCCTGGCTCTAGTTGAGGACAGCAGGACGTCTCTCGGGCCAGGGATAACCAGCAGCTATTGCTGCTGCTGTTGTTGTTGTTGTGAGGATAAAATGGAAAAGGGGGGATTGCTGCCAGCTCCTTTGGATCCCCGCTGGGGAAGGGAGTGAGGGGCCGGGTAGCCGTCGGAGGTGGTGGTGTGCCCCCTCGCCGGCCTCTGCACAGCGGCCCTGGGCTTCCCGGGAGGTTCCCCCGTCCAAACCCTCCCTGGGGCTGGCCCTTCTTAGCTGCCCGGACGTCTTCGGTTCCTCTCTCATCCGAGGGCTGAGCCGGCTTCGCTTCCGAGGTCTGGTGAGGCTGGGCCGGCCTGGACCACCTGGGTTGAGGCGAGAGGGGCACAGAGGCGTGGCAACCCATGAACAAACATGTGGACAAGGGGGATCCAATAGATATTGTTTACCTTGACTTCCAGAAAGCTTTTGATAAAGTTCCTCATCAAAGGCTCCTAAGTAAGCTAAAAAATCATGGGATAAAAGGACAAGTCCTTTTATGGATCAAAAACTGTCTAATTAATAGAAAACAGAGAGTGAGTATAAATGGGCAGTTCTCCCAGTGGAGGGGGGTAAGCAGTGGGGTACCGCAGGGACCAGTACTTGGTCCAGTGCTTTTTAACTTGTTCAATTATGATTTGGAGTTGAGAGTAAGCAGTGAAGTGACTAAATTTGCGGATGATACGAAGTTGTTCAGGGTGGTGA